GTCAGTAGCAGGATTATCCGTAGGATTCATATCAGCACTCTCGGGACTGATCGCACTTTTTACGGGTACCGCTACAACAGTAGTATCAGCCGTCGCAGCCATGTCAGCAATCACGGCAGTGACTTCAGTATCTACAGGTACAGCAATAGCGGCATTGTCGGCTGTAGCAAAAGCGACATTGCTGTTGTCAAAAACAGTGGATGTGACCTTGGAATCGGTTGGGATTGCGGGATCAGAAACGATATCAGCATCGCCCACGATGGAAGGACTTATACCAACGTCAACTACAGTGTTGTGAATGCCAGTAATACAGCCACTGCCAGTAACCACGGCCTGAACAACAGTGTTAGTGGAAACAGCACTAATCCCGGTGTCGTCAGTGTCAGGGGTACCTGAACTATTTGCCGCGACTTCTTGAGCAATGATAGCCCCATCAGCAGGACCAGTAGTTTCAAATATACAACTTGCGGAGTCACGACATACAACAGTGTCTGTAGTACCAAGTGCCGTTTGCGCTCCGAATACTGTACCTTTATCCGCCCTACAACCATCAGACTTTACTAGTGCCGTGTGCTCTGCTGCACCGTCGCGCATACATGCTCCTGTACCCAGTATCTCGGCACTGTCCAATGATTTTTCAGTTTGGTGGCCATGCGTATTTACCCCAACGTTTACTGTACATCCATCCGCCCTATCACCCTCAGAATTTACTGGTATTGTAAGCACTACTACAGTATCACACACACACGTTCTTGTACCCGCTGTCTCTGTGTAGTCCAATGTTCGCTCCACATGAGAATCTTCTCCTCCGCTTACTGTACCCCCATCCGCCCTATTGCCCTCAGAATTTACTGGTATCGTGTGCTCTACTACAATATCACGCACACACTTTCTTGTATCTGCTGTCAATGTGTTGTTCAATGCTGGTTCCGTTTGAATAGCTTCCTCCTCGTTTACTATAATTCCCTCCACCCTATCACCCTCAAACTTGGTCTCACACAGCCCTATACGCTGATTTACAGAAAGTTTCGGTGATACAATCAACTCTACATGCTCCACTCCACAATCAATAGGTGTAGCTACGGTGGTCGCTATGGTATTCGTTGCTGCAACCGCTCGATTTTCAAACACCGCAAAGATTTCATCAATAGCATCTGTACTGGATGAATCCACACACATACTCTCACGAGTTAGATGTTGTGTATGTGCCAACTCATCTACATTCTCCTCACTTCCCATCACACTGCATTTCTCATCACCATCCGCGTGCTTGCTGGATGCCACCACTGTGTCATCTGTTGCTGGACTTGTGGTTGTAGGCGTAAGTTTCAATGCACATGTTTCCACGCTTTTCCCCTTTGCACCTTGAGTTGCAGCAAGTGTGGCTGCATCATCTCCGTCTGTATGCATATGTGTCATAATGACGGTATCCATAACTGTGCATGAATCGTGTAATGCATTTGGTGTAGCTATATCCGTGCGAATGGGCATATATGTGTGTACAACTGTTCCCACCTTGCCTCCTAGCTCGCGATTGCCACATTGTTCTGCACTAGATTGTGTGTCCATATTTCTATGTACATCTACACTGGTGTTCGAATCAACGTCACTAACACTAATCGTATATAGGCTGTCCATGCTCTTCTCTGTGTTGAATGTCTTTGTCATCGTGTGCCAAGTATACTCACAATCGGTAGCTTTCCTGCGTATGTGTAGCACGAAGGATATAATTCTGATTGACGGCAACCACCGGTGTTCGGCAGTCTATGTTGTATCCACTACTATTCCACGCACCACTACAGTGCGATATGAAACTAATAAGCTCGTAAGGTACGAGAACATGCAATGGTTTGCCTACGCCTTAAAACTCCCCAGTCACTGTCCAGGTTACGAGCGTGTGGTAGAATGATGTACAACCATACCAGAGACAGCTGTATATACTTGCGTACTCCATATCTTGACCCGTCTATGCTTGACTTTACTTACTTACGTACATTCTCGTGTAGTATTTACTTTCGTGTAGTACATACTTTCACGCAGTACTTTCGTGTAATGCTTTCGTATCGTACTTACGTGTAGCTTGTGTCCCAGTATGTACTAATAAATTAAATACGTGTCATCACAAATGACGCAAATAAACAATCATCAAAATGGTTTCGTTTGATGTATTTATGTATTTATTTGCACGGCGCGTACATTTCTATTTTTCCCGCCAAAACCCAACGCCTCTGCAAGTACCTAAAAGCCAAACAGGTAATTTGTTTCTTTTAGTAAAAACAAGAAATACTATTTTATATATATAAAAACCAAAAAAAGAAGAAGTCTAAACTGGTACCAAATCTATCAACACAGTGCATACATATTCCTCTCGTCTTTTTTGGGAGACTACATGTGCATATTTGTTTATTATTATTTATGTATGTATGAAACCAACAACCAAAACGGAAGGGACTCTTAAAAAGTGAGCTTCCCACCCAAAATGGATAAATGTTTGTGACATACGGGATAGCTCAGGTACACACCAACACATTTGTTTCATTAACTTAGCCCAACTTCAATATCGAGACATCGTACTGTCCTAGCCGCATAGCTTAGGGGCATAGCTGTGCCATAGCCACAATTCACAACTTAGAAGTCCGTATACAAAGGTTAGGGTATTTATAACTGTCCTGCTCCAGTTTACAAGTTGCCACTACTATGTTTCCAATTCATCAATTTGAACAACCGCATCCAAAATTCTGAATATTTGTGTCCGATATTCATTATATACACGTTTGGGATACTTAGAGTTGTATGTAGATGAGTGTACTATAAGGTAGTTAGTAGTGGGATACCAATCGTGGAAGGGTATCGTTATAAGTATAATATATAGGTTTTGATGTTGTTTTCTTTAAGTGTAGTATGCCGAACTTCTCAATTTCAATTAGGGTTTAAACAATTGGTGACTGTAATGGCGGAAAATTGCGCTGAGGTACAGGTAGCGCAGCAACCGTTGCGTGCGATTGTTTATAAACAGTAGCCAGACAAAGTTCAGACAAATTTATTCGTAATACATATCTGGAACATTGATTAATTCTGGATCAGATAATTCTGTCACCGTCGATATATACTGCTTATTTCTGCAAAAATCGGCTTTCTGGGTAGAATATAAATTGATTCAGGAATAGTATTTTTTATCATGTAGTGAGGTGAAACTAGAGGACCTTTAGAATGTTCTTGTCATACACTGTTCCCGAACTGATTGTGTATTGTCGGCCCAAATGTGGTTGGGTTGTGAGAGCGCGAAACGAGTAAAATTGGTTGTCTTTAGAACATTATTGCCAAAAGTAATTGCAAGTACCGCTAGCGGGAATACATTCCTAAACATGCCATAAGGAAATAATACGTGTCTGACTCTGGCCGGATATACGATATCCACAGGCGTTGGAATTCGTTCACGCTTTACACAAATGCATATGAGTCGATATGGTTCCATACAGATTTAGCACACACATATGCAACTATATGAACGCTATGTAGTATTTTCCATTTCGATTCCATCAAGCTGTGTGCTCAAAAAGTATGTTCTGAATTAGCTATGTGTTGGATGAGTTGGCATTTTATCGACGGCTGCACCACTATGCAGAATAAATGAAGATTAAACATACTATCCCAAAAGCTCGCAAGATTTTTCAGCATCGTTCACAATGAACATTACTACCGCAACGGCAAAAAGCAAATACTAGATAAGGCATGGAATTTTACTTTTTTAAACTCTTATTATAATAGCTTCAGATGGCCTGTAACTTTGTTCACCAAATGTACTGGGCCTGGTCCCACTCCAACTACAGTACACGAACCAGCGGCGATCTGAGTTCTGCCGGCGTCTGCAATCATATGCGACCCTAATCCCAGGGCTTGTGCGTGCTCTGCAACAGCGAAGAATATATCGTCGTTGTCTGCCTTTACACATATTTTCGGTTGGCCGTTATCTACCCACGCACGGAGTAACTGTGGGTTGAGAGTACAAGAAGCATCAAATGAGTACGTGCGGTGTGTAGTGAGTGTGTGTTGTTAGAATGTTCGAAGCGCAATTTGAAGATCGATATAGCACCAAAGAACTAGGGGTTCTGGCATATATTGAGAACTAAGGACAAGGCGACTGAGTGGAGGGAACGGCAAGTCTGAGGATGACGCGATGACAACATGCTAGCAGATGGTGAAGTTATGTGCAAGAGCCTACACACTGATGGCACGCCTGATTACTAAATATGAGTGCAATTCGACGCTGCAAACAATGCCATCATTTCGATCCGTTCTGGTTGCCTGAGTTCCACAAAGGCTACACTCTTGAATGCCCATGCATAGATGTAGAACGGCTATCCAAGCGGCCTTCATACCATTTGTTGGGCCTTGGTACACACGTTAGTGGAGCCAGTGATTTACCCACTATATAATATAGCTGTACTTGCTTAACAACACTCACCGCAGGATTCTTCTTCAACGTTGATTTGTAAGCTTTGACTGCTGCATGCGCGCACTGCGCTGCCACCTTTCCCTTTCCCATTTTCAGTCCCATATTCACCACCAGCACCTATGGAATATGTTTGAGATTAGAGCGATCTGGTACTGAGATGAGAACTAGATATATCGGAATTGGATCCAAGACTTCATACCCGTTCTAACTACACTTTATGTATAAAAATGTCTACATATTTGAATATCCCGGTGAGAAAGGGTGGACCGAAATCCAATTTGAATCCCGTTTCGTTCCAAAACACGAGCTCACTATTGTTCGTTCGCAGTACTCTATGTTTGTAAATACACACTGACACCATGTATAAATCGGTATTGTGTCTTACATATTTCTGAACAGAAGCACACCAACGGATGTACACACATGCATGCGCCGATTAATACAACGAGCATGACTACAAGAATCGGAACTTACTACTGTGACTTCCAAAATTTTAAATAGTCTTCGATTTTTAAACATGCGCCCTCGGTAATTTCGAGACCTGTAATTGGTGGGTTGATATATACTGAAAACCTCGTTGGATACCATAGTATAAAATAGAAGGAAAACTTTACATTTAAATCACCGAAAACAAATCTGAATTGAGGATGTATAAGCAAGCTACACAGTCGCGCAACGGAGATGCACATTGCCACTTTCGTAGTAAACACAATCCTAGTCTTTATTATCGAAAACGAACTGCGAAAGCCCAACAATTTGAAATGTACGTTTACTCACCATTTTACATTCTTCTCCGTCAAGTATGATGCCGGGCGATGTCTGCGAAGAATAGTATCGTTGTACCGGCAACGTTGAGAGGATTGGGAGATGGCAAATAATGAGATCAGCATTGTCGCAGCCAGGTAAATATGTAGTTATTATATCATATGATCGTAGAGTAGGAGAGATACATAGACGATAACATCATGAGTATCTACAGCAAACGGGGTTCAATTACGAAAATCGAACAGTAAAATATACCGGTTCGGTTTCAACGCATAATGCTCTTCCAGAATAGAGATTGCAAGTAAGAAATGCAAATGATACATCTCCACACACACGGAAGCAGTTATTTATACACATAGAGCATTAGATATATATATATATATATATATATATATATGTATTATATATATATATATATATATGTATATATATATATATATATATAGTAGTAGTATATATATATATA